ACCACAAAGAGACACAAAATGACTATAACGAGATGCAAAACGACCATTAAGACACAGAAGGACCACTAAGACACCAAAAACAATGACAAAGAGACACAAAATAACCACAAAACATCATAAAACAAAGGCAAAGAGACACAAAACTATCACAAAAAGATGCTAAAGGGCCACAGAGTGACCACAAGAAGATGCAAAACAAACACAAAGTGACACAAAAGTACCACAAAGAAATCCAAAACAACTATTTAGTGCATTACATGTTGTTTTTGAAGTACTGAATGTTGCTTTAATGGTTTTCTTTGCCTACATTGATGCATCTATGCTTTAAATGTTGAGAGACAACATATAAACAACATATAAACAACATATAAACAACAGTACCGACTGGGATCTGCACCAAATGAAAGCTCGAGCTGCCGTCCTGCTGCTTCTTTTTGATTTTCTGAGTGGAGGTGAGCGCGGGGCGTTCAGGGACGGTGGGTGTTCTGTGTTTCTGACCTTGGTCGGCTCTCAGACGGTCGCTGTGATCAAAGGTGACCAGAACAAAGCCGACTTTAAGGCTCTCATCGTCCGATCGATTTAAGTGGAAAAGCTTCAGTCTGAAGTGAGTGACAGGCGGCTCACGGTGACGAGGACGGAGGACTCTAAGAATACTCGGCTACAGATAAAGTACTGGTTTATAAAGTACAAGTTAAAAAAAAAAAAAAAAAAGTACTTAAAGTATGCATAAAAATTTTCATATTGTGTATTTATTATTTCTGATGCATCATTTTATGGCTGCAGCAGATTAATGTGAAGCTACTTTATATGGTTTTTATTTCAAACTAATTATTATTTTAATTTTGGATCAATCTGCTGATTATTTATTATTGATTGTTTGATTTGTAAAAATCTGTGAGAAATGTTGACACCATAAAATAACTAAAAATCTATTAAGAAATACTAAAATAATTTTTGAAAAGCTGCATTGTTTTTGCAAGAAAATTAAATTACTGTTAAAATATTCAATTGATTAATTATTTGCTTGACTTTAAACTTGTATGTAAGTAAATACATTTACAACAAAGCATCTTATTTAAGTATTCACGTGGAAAAATGTTGGTTTATGTTGCAGCTGTTGGATAAAATCAGAGCAGCAGGAGGATGAAGTTGCATGAGAATGAAATACTCAATAAAGTACCTGATACTTTAGTAACTGTACTTTAGTTACTTTCCAGCACTGATTCTGTGAACGTCAAAGAAGAAGTACTCAGATTAAATAGAAGTGCACAATTACTCGGTCACAAGAAAAAAAGAATTGGATTTATGTGTTTGACAGAAGCAGCAAGATAAAGTAACAAAGTAAAAGTACTCATCATGCAGACTGCCATGTTTCAGAATAATTTATCCCATTTATTATATTCATTAATGCATTAATGTGTTCATCACTTTAATGTTGCACCAGATAAAGGTGATTTTTACGTCTGCTTCTTGTGAATTTCCCTCCAAGGATCAATATCTTAATCTATAACATTACATCATCATTTATTTGTCGATTATATTTAGTTTAATTAAACAAAACCTGCAAAGTAACTCCAGTTTTCATGCATATTTAATGGCGTAAAAAAAGTACATTTGTGTCTGAACTGTAGTGGAGCAGAAAATACAAATACTCATGTAAAGTACAACTACCTTAAAACTGCATGTAAGTACAATACTCAAGTAAATGTACTTAGTTACTTTCCACCAGTGGAAGCTTGACACACACTGAGCAGCCTGATCTGTCGTCTCTACTGGAGTTATGAAGCGGTTTAATGGTGGCTGAGCTGTGATTCTTTTCATTTTATGTGTATTTATCATTCATTTTAATTCATCTTTGTTATTTTTATCACTTTATTCCAGCGACAGATGAAAGACAAAGAAGAGTTTAATCTGATGAACTCCTGCAGCGTAGACTCAGATAAGAAACTCATCATTATGCATTAATTCTAAAAATTTAAAAAAAGAAATGGCACCGTTTAAATGTTTTATATAGATTTAAAAACCTGTTGCTCTCTGGGAGCTGCTCACTGGCCAAATATCCCATCATGTAAAATAATAAAAGCCTTAATTAATCCCACAGTAGGGAACATTTGCAAGATTACAACCCTGCAAAATTAGAAAATAAACCAAAATAAACCAAGATATGCATAAGGACTAATTATAAGAAACAGTGGTGCACATGACAGTGGTACCGAAGATTCTGTCATGAATGGAAATATTGACAAAAATTTAAATATTGCACATATTTTTATTTTTATTTTTTTGCCTATATGTAGAAAAACACCCACATGTATCATGTGTTCTAGTACATGTAGAGACCAAAGATGTTCCACAGAGTGTTTAAAGTCCAGAATATTCTTCATCCTCAGACTGTGTGGTTTCGATATGTGGTGTTTGTGTGTTTGTTTGTGTGTTTGTTTGTGTGTTTGTGTGTTTGACATCTTCCTGCAGGATTAATCCTGTGCTCTCATGTCTGCACACATCCATCAGCTCCGGAGCAGAATAAAGACGTCGGGGCTCCGGGGCGGTCCGGCTCGTCCTCGGTCCTCCTCCGGACCTGAACTTTGCTTCACGCAGAGAGTTGAACTTGTGCGCATGCATGTGCACGCGTGCACGCTCCTGGGCGCGCGTGTCGGTGCGTGTTGGGCAGTCTCCGGTATAAAACGTGTCTAAGAGGCCGCGGAGCTGCAGAGCTGCGGTCCGGACCGACGCCTCTTCTCCAGACATGATGTTCCCCTGCAGCGCGCTGCCGCCGCCCCTCTACCCGGGCTTCCTGCGTCCCCCCGCGGCCCTCCCCTCGCCCCTCAACCGGTCGCTGCCCTCCGGCTTCCTGGTGGAGGATCTCCTCCGGCTGAGCCAGCCTGTCGGGTACATACATCGGACTTTCTCCTCCAGGAGTCCCGGGGACATCCTCCCGCTCAGCCCCGGGCCGGGCTCCTCTCCCCGGGCGTGTGGAGCCGCCACAGAGCGCTCCGGGCTGCAGAGCTCCGGGCCTCCGAGCCGCGGCAGCCCCGGACCTCCGCACACCGCCTGCCCCGAGTCTGGCTTCCTCAAGTTCGGCGTCAGTGCGATCCTGGCCCCGTCAACACGGAGCGGTGAGTCCTAACCTGCTTTTATTTACTTTCAAAGTAGAATTTATCATTTAATATTACTGATTATTATTATTATTAAGCTATCAGTAGTGGTATTTATACATGTTTTTGTCTTTTTAATTAGTTTTTAAATTGTAATACTTTTAATATTTTCTAATAAAGGACTGAAAAATATTCTACATTCATTGAAAATACCAGTTTGTCACTTCACAATTGAGTTCTGCTTTTAAAACCAGTTTTAGGTCAAATTTAAATGCATTGAACTCTGAATATGAGACAAATGTGGGTTTTTCAGTTCTAGCTGTTCATTAATTTAACATTGATTAGAGAAGATGTGAAGGTTCTTTAGGTTTTTGTCTTGATTTTTATTTTATTGTGAATTCTTTGGAAGATGAGTTATTTCAGGGATCATATAAGTTTCGATGGGACGTCACTTTTTAGTAAAACTATGTGATAAAATAGCCTGAATATACTGATTTATTTTTAGCTGATCTTGTATTTTATTATGTTTGTTTAAAGTAAAATGTTAAAATCTTACTCTGAGAATAAAAACACATCACTAAAGTTAGAATAAAGGTAGTAAAGTGTATTTAAAAGTGTATAAAGTAGTGAGAAGCTGTAAACCTTTAACGAGATTCCTGGTTTTGAGGCGTCTGTGTTTCTTCCTCCAGTTCAGAGTCTTCAGACCAAATCCTTCCCGCTGCCGTTCTTTGACGGGACGCTCCATCCTTTCATCAGAGCTTCCTATTTCACAGGTACTCTGCTCATTTACAGCTGATTTTGTGATTTTTAATTGTTTAAAACTTCATGTATATGAGAAAAATCTTCACTTTTAGCACCTATTCAGGTCCATTTTGTTGCATTTGCTGCATTCTGAGCTCTAATCTGAGGATATTTATGTCCGTTTTACTTTGATATCCACCTCTGGTTACAATGTGATGCTCAAAATCTGCATTTTTCTGCCACTTAATGTGACTCCAGGTATAAATAAGTGACTGAAAAAGGCCTGAAGGGGCCTGGAAGCCTCAGCGGGCCTCCAGGCCTCTGCTTCAGATCACTGCTACGAAGGCATAAAGTTCAGTTAAAGGGTGTTTCCAGCTGTTAACTGTTGAACTATTCAACTATTTTGATAATTCAATGTGTAAATTTAAGTATTCTTTAGAGAAAAACCTAAATTCTCTGATTGCAGCTTCTTAAATGTGAATATTTTCTGGTTTCTGTGACAGTAAACTGAATATTTTTGGACAAAACCAGACGAAGGAAACACTGACGGACATTTTTCACTCTGTTCTGACATTTTAAACATCGAACAACGAATCGATTAATCGAGGTGCCGGTTGTCTAATTATGTGTAACGAACTATTTAATTCATTCAATGATAGTTTCCTTTAAAGCAAACAAATCAATTATTTTCTATTTTGTGAGAATTTGAGGCTTTTCTTTCTTACAGATGATAATAAATTGAATATATTTGGGTTTTTAGACAAAACAAGACGTCACTTTTGTGCGTTTAAAATGATTACAGGTTTTTCTCACTGTTTTCACAATCAATCGAAAATCTAATGGATAATGTGAGAGTTAATGAAAACGGTTGAGATAAGTTAAAGTCAATCAGGATGTAAATATGATTCATTTTCACAGCATAGTTAAAGAACTTTTATCATGTTAAACATCATAAAATCAATTACAGTCGATAAAAATTAATAAAGAGATGGTTTAAAAGAAAAGATAAAATAAAGTTAAAATTATAATTATTATTATTATTATTATGGTGAAAACTGAAAATTGTATAAAATTGTAATAAATAATCTAGAAAAAATGTTTTAAAAAAGTTTTTAAAAATTAATTAGAAGTTATGAAAAATAAAAAAATAAAATGATGAACACTGGCTCTTAATTAATTAATTTATTTATTTTTAATTAGGAGGTGGTTTGATCACTTTACACTTTTTTGAAAACAATAAAGGGAGAGTCTGTTTTATTAAATTAAAATATTTTTATTACAGTCTCACGGAGTAAAACCACCCAGAAACATCAGCAGGAATCATTGATTTTTTTTTTTTTTGACAAGACTTTGTCGTTTACAAACTGATTCAAGTGTAATTTTTGGTCCATTTTCATAAAAATGTAGGACAGTGAGAACATATAAAACTGTAAAAATGACAAGAAGACACACAAAATGTTTTTGGTTTTACTGTGAATGTATTAAAATCTGAATTTTTAGGTTCTTTTTGACTTTTTTCCTGGGAACCAAAACATATTTTTTAGAAGGCAGCGAGTGTTTAAATCTCTGCATGATGCCCTGAGCTACAATAATTTAAAATTAATTAATTCCAAAACTCTTTTAGTTTCACACATTTGTAGCCTGTGAGTTGGTGATCAATCTGAGAGTGATTCACTTTGGGTTTGAAAGCAGCTGTTTGACTTTAGAACAAACTGCAGATGCAGCAAAGTTGAAGTATTTTCATAACGAGCTCTGATAAATCACCTTTTTACTGGTTTAATTTCATTTTCCAGCCCGTCCTGCTGCTGTAAAGCATCTTGGGAATCCGTCGGTCGGCTCAGAACGCTCTCCGTCCGTCTGAAGGCCTCTTTAGGCTGCTGACTGCTGACATTAGCACCAGTTGTCCTAATCTACAAATTAGTCCGGTTTGTTCCGCTTTAAATATATTAGTGCCGTTTGTCATGGTCTAAATGCGAGGCGGGTATCTTCCCAGCTCGGGAACTCGGCGCCTCTTCACGCGCCGTCGTTTTCCCACCAAGCCCCTCGACCGGCCCACAAAGCCGCCAGAGCCGTGACCAATCGGAGGCGAAACCACACACACACACACATCGGCAGCATTCAGCGGAGTTAGTCGGTGGGTTTGTCACTCACAAGATCTCTGTTGAGCTCTTTCTAAACTCTGACTTCTCCGTTTTGATAATTCGCTGGAGGTGCAAAGCTGCCAAGAGCCTGAAGAACTAGAAAAATGTCACATAGAGGCCTGAAAAATCCACACACACGCATTGTTTTCATCAGTTTGCATTTTCTGCAAACTTTCCTCTCGATTTAATACGAATCTGCTGCAAAATGAAGCAAGTGTCCAAGAAAACGCTGCACATTTTGCTGCTTATTATAAAGAAAACGGAGGAAAAGTTTAGGTTTTTGGGCAAAAATGTAAAATTACACGACAGGTAAGTTAAAAATAGACAAACAAAACCTCTTCAGGGTGACTTTTCTTGACTCTGACATGCAAAACTTCATCGATCTGTTCAGTAAATCTGCATTTCAGTGATGTTTCTGCAGCATGTTTGCAGATTTCCTTCACATGGAGCTCTACTGGAGCTCAAAGCTGCTATTACTCAAAGCATTATTACATTTTCTTGCATGTCTGCTGCACAAATACAACGTGTCACATGAACTTTTCCTGCTCTGTCCACTGCTTAAAGGGAAACGCCAACTAGTGACGGTAAATTTGTGCTGATATTAATATTATATTATTTTATAAAGGTTCTTGTAAAGTCAGACTCCACAATAACAAAATCCAGCTGAAGTCATTGAGCTGCTGCACATCTGCAACAGAAATAATAATTTAATCATTTCATATCTTAAATACGGACAGATGTTGTAGATTGATCTGGTTTTTCTGGAAATATCCGGCGATTTACAGCTAAAGAGCAGATTTGTCGAAAATTCTGAGGAGAATTTCCAGGAACTTTGCTTCATTTTCTCTCTAACTGTTTACAATTTTTCTGATTTTAGAAACTCTGCTGGACACTGACATCAGTTTATTCACACATTTCCACCCACCTGACGCATCATTTACTATTTTTTTTAACTTAAAAACCCATAAACCAGCGAACACTTTAGTCTTCATTAGAATTAAACTGAACCTGCTGCAGTTTCTGAGGAAACATCATGAATCAACAACTAATCAGGAACATTTCAGGTAATTAGCTGGAAAATAGAGAAGCTGTGAAATAAAGACACTCAGTGAGTCTCTTTTTCTCTCTAAAAAAGCTGTTAACGACTTTTTAGAAACTCAATTAGAGACAGTTTATGAACAAAACTTTACCTTCCTTGTGTATCATTTACAAGTTTTTTTCTTTTTACTATAAACTTAAAAACACGGTTTCCATTTTCCTCACAATAAACCTCAACATCCTGTGATTGATCAGCTAAATTGCAGCAGAGTTTAAGGAAACGATGAGGAAGATTTAGCTGGAAAATGCAGAAAATAAAGACACTGAGTTTGGTTTTTGTGTCTCTCTAAGAAACTGTGCAACTGTTTTTCTTTTACCTGCTACGTTTTTTCCCCTTAAAACTAAAATATAACGAACAGGGACTGGACAAACTTTCTCTATTTCTCGTATAATTATCACCAAATTAAATGTGATTTATTCTCACAGTTTGCAGCCAGTTGAACAAACTTTTCAGGAATTTAGATGAAAAAAACGTATCACATGCAAAAACAAAATAAAAATACAGAACCAGGCTGTAAAAACCCAGTTTCACAAACATACAGCAGAAAAAAGTCAGAAATAAAACTCAAATCAAGCTTTTTATATGTGAAGTGATTTTAATCCAACTCTTTTTTTTCCATTTATGCAGCTGTAAATAACTTAGAAATAGAAATAACTCCAGTAATGGTCGACAAATACGTGAACTAGCTGCAGAATTTTAACACATTTCTGCAAAATCTACGCTTCATTTTCAGCGTATTTCCTCACAACATCTGTAATGAGGAGGCTGAGGAGGCCTGAACCCCGAAGCGTGAGTGAATCCTCTGACCTGCCTTTAATGGGCCTGTAATATAGTGGCCTGTCGACGGCCTTTTCCACTCAATTCATTACAACACAATCACGGTTCTCTGTGCATTTGCAGCCCATACAAGCCTCCTTCATGCTTCATTAGAGGCGGTGTGAGCCCGGCTCTGGAGGGCCCGGCTCATTAGCATAGGCTCTGTTTCCACCGCTCGACAAATTGGGCTCTTCAGCGTCAGATTTCAGGCAGAACGGGGATATTATGGCGAGCATCGGGGAGCCTGTGTGCTCATTACGGAGACAAGGAGGGACGAACGCAGGAGTAATCGCCAAAAAGAAAAAAAAAGCAGAAAAGCCTCTGAAATTTAAATACGGCTGATATGTAGAGCCGTTCAGGATTAAAGAAGCAGAACTTTGGTCGGGAAAGTGTCAGAAGAAAAGACTTTTAAGGACAAAACTCATGTGTGGGGCTTCATTCAAAAGGTTTTTCTTCACTGTGGCTCATTTTTACTCAAATTAAAAGATAAAGATAAAGATAAAGATAAAGATAAACTTTATTCATCCCGAAGGAAATTGTTTTGCCAGAGTACAGTTAAAGCAAGCAAAACAGTTAAAGTAAACAAGTAATTCCAAATAAGAATAAAAATAAAAAGTAAAAAATAAAAGTAAATAAAATAAGAATACAAGTACCAGAGAAGAATAGTGCCTTAATAAAAACAATACAATAAGTAAAAGTTCTATATGGAAGCAGTGACAAGTCATTTTGGCACAAAGGGTTAAACAAGTTAGTCGTCGCTAAATGTTTGAGTTTGTCTTGCAGATTCTTGTGCAAATGCTTTATTTTTTTTTTTATTTTTACACATAAAACCTCAAATATGACAATTTATTGCTTATTTTTAGATGTTTTTCTGGTTAAATCACTTATACATCAGACATTTTTTCAGTTTTTACAGTTTCTGGCTGATAAATGGTCTCATTTTGCTGATTTTTTTCCCTTAAAATAAATAAATCCACCAGCGGGTTTTGTGGTTCAGAGGCTGAAACTAAATCTCTAAAGGATTCTGCTCGTCCGGGTCACTTAAAGTTGGATCTGTTGCTCTTTGGAAACACTACAGGACCAATAAAACTCAGAAAAGCCGACTTAAAGACGATTACTTTATTGTTTGTGCATTTAATTCAAACAAGCACAAGTTCTCCTGCTCACAGATTTCTACTCTAACTTCTAATTCTAGTGAATTAATAAACATTCATACTGATGCTACTTAAACTTTTACCTGTAATGTTAGATTTGATCATTCATTCACTCTGTTTATTATGTTAGTGTTGCACAAGTCAGCAGTGGAGGTTTTGATTTTGTTGTATTTTGGACAATAAAGTGGAAAAAAAGCTGTAATTTAGATTCTATATGTTCAATAACAGATTAAAAACCACATGTCATGAGATTTATCATTTATTCACTGAACCTGCTTCTAATTTACTTTTATTGACACCAGTGATGTGAACGATTAAAATCTCACTAGTCTGCACCAGAAATACCGGCCGATTAAACTAGTTATATAGGGTTTTAATTATATTGATGTACAATTGAGCTTAAAAGATGTTATTTTACAGCAGTAATGTCCAGCAAGCTGAAAAAGAAACGGGTTGATGTAGAAAATAAAAATCAGGTCGTACGTGTCAGAATAAACACAAAATAATGTGTAAGCAGAGGCTTTTAAAGCACATTTTGTTATTAGAAAATGTGATTAAAGGTTTGAAATGACTCCTAAATGCACCCTTGTCGATTAGATTTTGCTGTTTTTTGACTATTTTCTTACTTTTAAGGAATTTTGCTTTTCAAAATGTTAGTTTTTTTTAAACTGACAACAGAACTATTGATCAGGAGCATCCCGAACCAGACTCATGGATTTATTTTCTCTCTCCTGTTTTGTTCTCTGCAGCCTCCTCGTCGGTGGTTCCGGTTCCGGGGACGTTTTCGTGGCCCCTGGCCCCCAGAGGGAAGCCCAGGAGGGGGATGCTGCGGCGGGCCGTGTTCTCCGACCTCCAGAGGAAGGCGCTGGAGAGAACCTTCCAGAAGCAGAAGTACATCAGCAAACCGGACAGGAAGAAGCTCGCCGGCAAACTGGGACTCAAAGACTCGCAGGTAGAAAACAAGAACAGAAACAGAGAGCCGATGGACAGACTGGATACAACATTTATTTTTATGTTGTGCGTTTAACTCTTTTCAATCAAAGTGAACAGAAGTTAACTGCCCTCTAGTGGACCGTCAGTGAAGTGCAGGACACCACGTTGTGTATCTTTGCTGGTGTTGCTGTTTCCTTTATTTTGTTGTAAATGTTGAAAATCAAACCTAAACAGAGACAATTTTTTTTTTAAAACTAATTATCATAAATATTGAAACGATCTGAGAACAGATTAAAATTTCACCTTTACATGACATGTGCAGTAAAATTCAGACTCTTGACGTGTCTATTTTTAAGTTTCTTAGTGATAATTCGTGAAAACAGCCATTTATCTGCAGCAGGTAAAAAGGAACTCATGCAACACGTGATTTAGCTTCAGTGTGCAGCTACAATAAGTAGATGGAAGTAAAAAAATCAATGGAAAGTGAAACTAAAAGCTAAATGTGGAGCTTATTTTAACCAACAGCCCAGTTTATGTTCTCAAGCAAACACTGATAAAAGCTCTTGTACTTTATCCTGAACATCTTTGCAGCGTAACACAACAGCTCTACCTTTAAGCTCTTATATTTTCAGCTTTTGTCGACAGAAATGTGATAATTTCTGGTTATTACTGAGCTTCTAGTAGGTGGTGGTTGTAAATTTATACAGTTATTCATATTGTGATAATAAAAGGACCCAACTAAGTCTGTACCTATGTCGTATTGTGGGGTTTTACCTCAACATTTATACTTATTAGATGAATTTATATAGTAAATAATACCTTGGGGTTTTAAAGCTAATACTGAAATTGGTCAGGTAAGTTTGTATGAATACGTAGAGGTTTGCCTTTAAATAAATTTAATGTTATTTTTCAGTCACTTCAATTAATATCTGATGTTTTAAATATTCTTTATGAATAACGGCAACTTCACTAATTAAGGAAACAATTTAGAAAATGTCATTTTTTTCTGGCTAACTAGATTTTCAGAGTAATCAACTCAAAATCCTCCAAAATAAGAGCTCAGCAGATCATTTTTAGCACATAAATAATCACTTTTTTGCATTATTTTTGTTTTATGTGGTTTGAGTTTAGTTTGTTTTGTGTCTCCACGTTTGAAACAATGTGAGTAAAATAGTTGAGTTCTGCAGGTGACAACTGGGTTAACTGTTAACTGTGACCCCCGTCCAGGTGAAGATCTGGTTCCAGAACCGCCGGATGAAGTGGAGGAACTCGAAGGAGCGCGAGCTGCTGTCGACGGGCGGCTGCCGCCAGCAGACCCTCCCCACCAAGACCAACCCCCACCCGGACCTCACCGACGTGGGCTCCGACTTCTGCAGCCGGCTGAGCAGGACGACGGCCGAGAGCCAAGAGTCAAACCTCCACCACAGCCACCACCATCACCACCACAACCACCACCTTCACCATCAGAACCCCTCGTCCCCGTCAGAGTCGAGCAAACAGTCGGAGTCGGACGGCGAAGAAATCACAGTTTCCTGAAGCAGCAGCGGAACCTGCCCTGTACATAGCTGTATGTTCTGTTTATACGTGGTTCAGAGTGTCGACGCAGCAAATAAAGACACTGAGCCGGATTAGATTTAATATTGTAGAGTGAAATGTTTAAATATACAAAATGTTTCTCAGCCTTTATATTTTCTCAAATAAATCTTGAAAAGTCTCATTTATGTTGGTGTTCAGTGTCTTTCTGATTGTTGTGTTTTCTTCATATTTTTACTCCACTGCAGTTCAGAGAGAATTATTATACTTTCACTGCTTTATTTTACAGTTTAACTACTTCACAAAATTGGGTTTTTCCTGCACAAAATGTGTAAAGAGCTTCTAAAAAAAAAAGCCTTAAAAGAAAAGGCAAACCGAAACCAATAAGCCGGGGCGTGAAGAAAAAATGAACAAGATTAAAGAAAAGTTCCGGCTTCTTTTTTTTTAAAAAGCTTGTTTAATTGATAGAAAATGTCTTAAAACAAGCAGAGTTGACCAAAGTGCTGCAAGATAACGATAAAGAAATATGAACAAAAAAAATCAAGAGCGAAGACAGGATAAAAACATGTAAAATTGATAAATAGAAAATGTTTTTTAAAAAATTACAACCAGTGAGATCAGTTTTTACAATTTCTATTTTATATTTATTCTAAAAATAAACATACCAAATACCAAAGTATTAAGACCATTAAGAGCCACTGAAAACATGTAAATCTGTTAATCAAGAGGGAAAATCTGAGTGAAAAGAATTTAATTTTCCTGCACAAATGCTGCAGATTTCATGATTTCAGGTTCTCAGTTTTTTCTCTTTTCTGGTTCAGAATTTGTACCTGGAGTCATTTAAGGATTTCTGGATACTCAGAGGAATCATCAACTCATATCTTCAGAGGTCTGTAGTACATTTATTTTAATTACTGTGTACTGAGGTGTGATCTTTGTGTACTTAAGTCCATGTTATGCTTCTTTCTGATTCTACTCCACTAAATATTTGAGACAAATATACTTCATAGTCCATTATGTTTATTTTAAAGCTTTTTTTTTTACTTAAGATTATTAAATTATTATATCTAGAATATAAATCAACTAATAAACTACGCTTTATTATTATTGATTAATCATTAAAAGTATCTCAAGCTGCAAACATCAACATCTATAATCCAGTTAACCATATATTTCTGATTCTAATGTGAGTCATTCAGTACTTCTGGTACTTTAAGTATATTTAAATGTTAATACTTCAATGCTGTTACTAAAGTAGGATTCTGAATTCAGCACTTTTACTTAAGAAAATCGTCTTACACAGTACTTTTACTGAAGTTTAGGATCTAAAGTCTTCTTCCACCTTCATGTATTGATATTAAATCAATTGATTTTGTGATTGGTGACATTATTTGACCACATGGTGGCGCTCTGTGCTCACTGACAGACACCTCCAGTGTTCTCTGTACATATTAACAGGTCACACAAATAGTCAGCAAGCAGCTACACAAATAACACAAACAACAAACGGACAAACAACACTTTCTTGTTGTTTTGCGATCCAAAGTATGAAGACATCAATGGAACTGAGATGTAAATAATTTATTTACGTTCTCATCAATAAATTGAGGTGATCAGTTAATCTATGAGTTGATCTTCAATAATCTAAATGAACGTGTCAAATATCTGCTCTCAGATGTAAGATTCAGCGGCTTTGAAATAGAATCTTTGTGTATTTTTGGACAAAACGAGACATTTATGACGGTTTGGACTCTGAAGTTGTATTGATTTTTATTTGTATTTGTATTTTTAGTACTGTTTTCAAACACTGTATGGATCACACAGTTGTGTTTCATTGTGTCTCCCCTGCAGAGCCTTGAATGATGTCTCTGATTCTCTGTGCGTCGGCCTGCAGAGCTTCGTTATGAGGGTCGATCTTCAGAGCAGCCTGAAAGTCCTGCAGCCCTGAAAACAAGTCACAGGTAGATCAGCTGACAGTCACCTGGCTACATGGTCACCGAGTCACATGGTCACCTGGTCGGTCATCCTTCTGAGAAACGCTGCACTGATGTAGTACTACTTTACCCAGAGGTGAGACCAGGTCAGCGTTCAACAAGTCACAAGTCA